CCTTTAAAGGACCTGTGTGAAGGATTTAGTGGTGAAGTTGCAGATTGCTCCAAGCATGTAGGAAAAACTATGGTGACCACAAAACTTGCAAAAAACGCCCATCTAGAGCCACTGTTTGCTTTGTACATTCTGGGCTACTGTAGAAACACGGCGGTTCAACATGGCGGACTCCATGGAAGAGGACTCACTCGGCTCATTCTAAGGTAACGAAAAACACAACAATTCTTTTTTCAGATGATAATAAACTAATGAAAACCTATAAATACTTAATTCCATTACTGCCAATAGATCCTCCTAAATGTTACATACTGGACCTTTAAGACCAAAAAATACGTGATTTAGGGCTAATCATAATTCAAGTCAGAATAATACAGATCAGTTCAATACAGTTTATATCCTAATAGTAATATCAATATGATGGATTTGAAGTTAGCCTTATTCCAGACGCCTGAATCTCTGCCCACAGCTCCAATCATTTCAATGATTCAGTTTGTGAAGTGAAACGTAACGTGACAGTGACCTCTCAGTTCAAACTTGGTGAGAGGAAACATGTGGTTGGTTTCCTTCTTTGTCTCTTTAAGATGCTCATGAGATGAGGTGGTGAGACGGGAATTCAAGGACATTCCTGTTGTTTCCAGTAAAAAACTGTAGGAATCTCAGTAATGTGGCTGCCATCCCAGTGGCAGTTTGAACAACACTTAATAACGATAACAATTATATGAGAATGTAAATGTAATATTACTGAATCAAACCCAGACGGAAACCAGTTAAGAACGAATGCACAGAAGAACAGAGAATGGCATTACTGTTTTGTAAAAGCATAGAATTATGTTTTGTTTTTTTAAATAAAGCACATAAAAGCCAACAATTATGAGGCCATTACACATGTGTAGTCTAGTTTTTACTGAAATAAAAAGAAACAATCCTTGATGCCAAGGCATACAAAAATATGAGTTAAATTATTGTTACTGTTACTGAAACTTAATTTTAGTGAATCTTCTAAATAAAGTATTGTTGTTCTGTACAGATCATCTAGGATGTGGTTAAGCAAACATTCAGAACAATGTAGAATGTTGCTTGCCAGAGACAGAAGTAAAAATCTTTACAGTAAGATATGGACTCTACAATGTAAATCAATTGATCTGTTGTTTCCCTTAACAATAGACTAAGAGGACTGCAGATACTATATTATATTCTCTAAGGTATTACTTGCACCTTCAGCTTTGTCTTGGCATTACAAAGCCCAGACATAATGTGGGAATGTAATCAATTTTATTTTCCTTCTAACTTCTACCAACATGAATGAATGGTTTAGTTTTTCAGTTATATTGTCCATAAGTCCAGCACTGTAAAAATCTTTAAGTGCACTTCAATTGAAGAAATATATAATAAGTGAGAAGTTGAGGTAAAGTAAAGCTGGAGTCATTCAAGGTAATCCAAGTAACTGTTCTGTTCTGAACTAAGGACAGAATCTTCAAAAAGGCCATTAAGCCTTTCAATGAGCAGTCCTATATTATATTTTGCCATCTTACAGTACAAGCTGGAACATTGTTTTTCTATAGATTAAAATTTGTTTAAGCTGCTTGACATAATCAGTGTACTGTAAATAATAGAAAGTTCTCAGAGGAACAAACAAAAATAAAATAAAACAGTAAGACATAATGTTTAATCTGCCTGTGGATGAGGATCTGCATCAAACTTAAAAAATGATGGGCTACATCTGCCAGACTTTTTTCATCAAGCTTAGCAGTTCATGAAAAGTCCATTTAAAACTCCATTGACCTGCAACCTGATCCAGATCCACACCAAAAACTAATTACCTCAGAGTCAAAAACTTTGACCAAAATTTGAAAATATGCTGCTGACAACTATTACGGCCAAAAATATAACCTCCATGTTGGAGGTAACACCTAATGAGCTCATTATTTGTGCTTACTATTTCTATGTAAAATACTTGTTTTCCTCTCACATGATTGTAGTAGCAATCAATTTTAAAACTTTGAGTGGCTTTATTTTGTCATTCATTAGTATATTTCTCAGATAGACCCAATAGCTCCAGTCTCAAAAATGTACTCTATGCAGGAAACCTGTGGTGTAAATATGATGTATTTACCATTAATTTTTTAATGAATTATTACAATAATGTGTCTACCTACAGACAGACAGACAGACAGACAGAAAGACAGATAGCAACACTCTGGGTCCAAAATTCTGAAAAAAGCAAAATGAAGGTAAAGAAGGCCTGTTAATAATTAGGAAACACGGCGTAGGGCCAGGTGTACATGGCTGTGCTTTTTAGTTTACCGGCTGAGACCAATGTGATCCTCCTTGTCCAGTGTCCTTCATGACGTCAGCTAATCAAATCACAGCAGCTCACTACTATTTGGCACTTTCTACACAATGTCTGTCTATGTTTTTGCTGTATGAAACATCTGTGTTACACGTTATTAGAGATGTACCGCCACATTCCCGGGGTTAAGCCACCAAAAAGAAAACGAAGACGAAGAGAAGAGTCATGGTTTTTTGCTAGAGGTGGCGTCTGAACAACGCAGGAGCCCAAGATCCAAGCTAAAATATGCAGCTCAAAAGGTTGAGAGAGGCTCGATACTTGAGGTCATTATTTTTAGTCACAACACATGATACAGTTTTATGGCTGTTTTTTTTTTTTTAACAGGTTTTCTCAGTTTACCTGCCACTGGTAGATAAGCCAAAAAGGTACATACCATGCACAGTGTTAGCAAAACATAAACCTGTATCCATCTGGTACATCACACACTATGAAAGAAATCCCTCAAACAACCATTAACCAAACCAAACAACCATTAACCAGCAGTTCAGGGTAAAACTTTAAGACAACCAACACCCACCTGAACTCACAAGGAATATTCTCCCCTCATTGGCTCATTACACAGGAATACCAGCACTGAAGGAATAGTGACATGTACAGTAAAGTGCACAGTGATAGAGAGGCTCTCCTCTAGCAGGCCACTGCTGTCTGCATGTGTGTGCAGCCGTTAATACAGTACTGCCACGCTGTGTCAGACGTGGTAATAGGCTTTTTTTTTTTTTTTTTTGCTGTGAATGACTTTACAGACACTGAAGCTGACAAGCTGCATCCCGGGTTGATATCTTTGAGAATTGACAGAGGCAGAGTTTTGAGTGCAGAACAGTAACAACAAGGCACCCAAGTATATTTCCCTAATGGGATATATGGAGGTTTATGGCTCCATTCTATAGCAGGAAGAGATCTACCCCCTCTCACAATGCCCTGACAAAACTCTATTCTCCCTCTCCTCAATAAAAGCCACTGATTGTCGTTATATTGACCTTGTATGAATGAATGGATACCATCCATATTTATTACGCCAGACAATCATAGGATTCTGTTTCAGATCAATGTGAGCTGATAGGCAATCAAAGTGGAAATTCAAAGGAGATGGAAATTAGGAAGTGAATGAGTGAGGGATAAAATAACTGCTACCCAGACGAAGACCAAACATTCCCTTTCGTATGTACTCTTTTGTCGTCTCTCAACAGTTTCATTTCAAGGCAACAGGGTCAGCCATCCCAACAGTGTGATCAGAAGGTGATGGGGAGATGTTGCTCAATTGTGCTCGTACTGAGATTTTGTATAGGAGCCATAACGCAGGATTTGAACATCTGCAGGTACTAAATTCAAAATATGGTAACCATAAATAATTGTATCCCATCTAATAATCAAGCAAAACATGGTCTCACTTGAGTTGTTACTATATTGTAATTCTGGCATCTCTGTCATATACAGAATACTCTGAATTACAGTGCAGAAGTACGGCACAGCAAAGATCCCCCCTTTGAATAAATTCTCACTGTATTTACTCTTCTTTTTTTTCTTTTTTTTCTTACTACTGCTGCTTTCTTTGCTGCAGTGCTCTGTGATTGGTTGAATACATGTGTCAAGTCACTTCAATGCTGTCAGGATAAGGAGTGTTATTGGCTGGTGCTCCAACACCACTCCATCCCCGCCAACCGCCCACCTCCCAAAGCCGTGGCGTAGATGAGTGGGCAAGCAGATGTGTGCATCAGGTGGGGCTGCACTCCTGAAGAGGAGGAGGAGGAGGAGGAGGAGGAGGAGGAGGAGGAGGCACTCGGGGCCATGCCAGGTAACAGAGCAACAGAATGGGGACAGTGGAGCAACTGGATGCCTTTCACTACCCTTGGTATATTTTCAATCACAGAGGGGCGAGCGTAGGGATGCAGTGGAGGGCTAATGCACCAGTGCTAGTTTCTGCAGGGCCGTATTTACCCAGAGAGATAAATTCAAATCATCCTAGCAAGTAGCATCAAAATGGTAAAACTAGGTCATATGAGGATAAAATACTTTAGGAAACAAATATTCAAAAAAGCTGTTCCTTTTGGGCTTACACTTCGGTTATTCGCCTTTTTATAACCACCAACAAGAGGTTGTACCACTTCATAATAGGACAAGAGACATGTTCATTTAGTTTAGAATCTACTTTTTTCAGATAAGTCAAATCCATGGCCTCTCTCAAGTCTGCCTCAACCCTCTCTGACTGTACAGACTCACTGACAGGCTCCAAGCTCACTTCAGGGCAGCACATCAAAGCTCAACAGTATTGGCGACGCTGGCTGGCATTGCATAGATCTCACAATGACACTGGTAAAAAAAAAAATTAGGTCACACTAGTGCTGTGAGTCACTTCATGTGGTCCTCTGCCTTACACCATTGACATAAATAGCACACAGACAAAACAAAAACACATAGATTCTCACTCACACAGCGTGGCACTAAGGTGAAGTGGCCATCAACAAACTGTCGCTTTGCCACATCGAACCAAACTTGGAACACAGAAATGGTGAAATGGGAGTGGAGATTTTGTTTTTTTTCCAACAGTGGTGCTGGTGCTGGTATTGTACATGGCGTAGAGCACACAGCAGTGGGTGTGACTTCCACCTGCAGGCCAGCCCAGGAAGTGAGGCTCGGTAAAGACTCGACTTACCAGAGGGAACTTGGTTACTGCTTTCTGTCCACTGCAGAAGTTCATACAGCCACCTAAGGAAGAGAAAAAGAAGGATGAATAGATCACATGCGCCTCCGGTAGCTGACCAAATCACCAAACACTGCCTAACAACGATTGCTGTCGTGCGTTACTTTTTTTCCCCCGTTCTGGTGCTCCATATACTTCAGTGCTGCTATGAAGTCTAATATTTTTTATCAGAGCAAGACTGACTGTTTTACAGATTGAGGTCAGGATTTGGCTCAGAGTGTTATGTAACTTGGTATATGGGCCAGAATAATAGTATTACATATGAGATTGCAGTTCAAACAGGAGTCACGGTGGTGAAAGGCAGGCTGATGCAGACTGCGGCAGTGTTTTCAGGCTGTGGCTCGGTGCTCATAACAGACAGACATGCCCCAGAGAGCAGTCTAAGTCTTTTTTTTTTTCTTGCCTCGTTTCATTTCTCCTACCCCATCAGTTTGTGTTTTCCCCTTTTCCTCACCCACGCGCCGCTCTTCTATTTCTTATATTTTGTTTTCTCAAATTCCCTGATGTCGCCATTGCTACACTTTGATGCTTCCACTTCCTCCTTCAGTCTCACTGTGACAAACTGCCAGACAGACAGACAGACAGATAGATAGATAGATGATAGATATGATAGATAGATAGATAGATAGATAGATAGATAAATCTCAGTTCATCCCTGTGTCTCGCATCTCATTAGGGTCTTGTCAATCTGTCATTGCCACTTCTGTTTTTTTTTTCTCTCTCTTGCTCTAGAAGGGTGGGATATCCGCATTGGTTGCTATGGCACCAGACAGCTCCTCGTTTCCTGAGACAACGGCTAACTGCGATTGTGTGTCTGTGTGTCTGTGCAAGTGCGTGTGTGTATGCATCCTCATGTCTAATTGTGTGCACGAGCAACGCACACATGTGTAAGGCCACTTGCGTTTAAGGTGTTAACGTGCAGCAAAGTGATAATCAGCAGTGTTTGGTTTACTGTGCCTCCACTGCAGTCAGTCAGTGTTTTAAATCTTCCACCTGATGACTTGTTTGATTTATTCATGAGATGTGAATGGGATTACAGCTGGCATGCAACTATATGTATATATACGCATATAAGTATGTTCAATTTCTGTCAATCCCAGATTTCAGTGTCTCAGCTTTGCCTGTGTACTCTGTAAAATGTGTGTGACTTCACAGACCCAGTCTTAGGGGCATCCATCCCTGTTGACCTGCCCTTTCTCCTCTGTTTGCACTCCAGCAGAGGGCAGTGTCAGCTTGACACTATACTATAGCTCTCCCAAACTACATCCACTGTATATTTGTTTTTAAGCAGTGACAGGGCTTAATTTCTGAGAAAACATGTACTGACCTTGTCCTTTTTTTCTGATAAAAACACTTTAATTTTCTACCCACAATAAAGCACAGTTCATCAGCACCTCAAGAGTTTAGGAAATATCAGTGACTAACAAGAGAAAAGAATGAGTAAGAGTAGAGGGGCTTCTAAGTGCCAGACACAAGAGTAATTACGATAGACTGAAATTCTGTTTTCACCGAAAAATATTTAAAGCTCAAAACATTATATTTTCAACTCCAATTTGCATAATTTTCACTCAACACGATGTGATGAATGAGGAAGGGCTGAGTACATTAAATTGATTTGCAAGAGATCTTCAAATGAGAGTGGCGAGAAGCTGTTGAAACTAAAAGAACTTGCTGCTCTGACAGCTGGGGTGGTAAAGAAAGGGAGCACTTGAGCACTTGTCTGTCTATCTGTATGCGTGTGTGTGTGTGTGTCTGTCTGTCTGTTCATGTTTGCGTATGTGCGTGTACGTGAAGAGGCCGTGGTGTTGGGTGAGAGGTGTGTTTTTTTCCACCCTGTGGGGCCTCAGGCTGGGATAGGATGAGGCGGAGCTTTGGGGAGGCGCAGCATGGGGCGGGCTGTTTCAGCTGAACTCAGTGCACTGTAACAGCACTCGGGGCGGGAGGTCACAGAGTCCAGCATTCCTCCAGAGCGCTGTCTGTTTACACGACTGCTGCTGTGCCGGGGGGAGGTGGCAGCTCTGCATAACTACACCATCAGATAACACTCATTGCTTGTATTTATGTTCATCATCTACCAGGGAGATAAGAATCCTTTATTCATTGTTTCAAATGCTGAAAACTGTTCATGCGTTTTACTTCGTTTAACTCTTACATTCTCACTGTACATAGAACAGTAACAACAGCGTTGCAGTAGACTTAACCAAAGAAATATGACTTTTCCTTCTGTGTGTATTCAGTCAACATCTTTGTATCCAGGCAGTAATATAGGCATAGTGATATATTGTATGCTTCCTCCTTTCACCTTTGTGTTTTACATGCACGAGATACTGAGGAAACATGTGACTGTATGAACTCCAATCTAAACATAGCTGACAGCACCTGTAATGCACACAATTTGTATGCCTCACCTTTCAGGTCAACACTTGTCCATATGTGAACCAGTAGACAACACTGTTATCGCAATGAACGAGCCAAATGTAACTGTAATTTTAAAGCCATTCTGGTGTTTTACCTTAATAAGTATATGCAAAATACCAAAAAAAAAATGTTTCCCTTCGCTCTTGAATGAGCAGATCTTGTTCGTCATAGACTACATCAAATTCTGTATGAACACTTTGATACCAGTAAGGAAAATACCCAGACTCAAAACCCTGGATCACCCCACAAATCAGATATATTTTCAAAGGAATAAACGTGTCTTTAGCCAGAGGAATTTGCTACAATTCGAACTATCATCCGGGACATTAAAAATCGAATTCTTATGAACTATAAAAAATAAACTCAAACAGGGATTCACAAATACAGTACAGTACAGAAAAAATAATGCTTCACTCTTCGCCAAACAAAACATCTGATTTGCCAATCAAACATAAGTATATTAACATAACTTGCTTAAGGGACACTTACATTTACTCAATTATCCAGCCTTGATTGTAAGTTCATTGTTAATAATATAATTACTATAATTCACATCCTTGTCATAGTGAGGATCAGACACCAACTTAGGCATTTTGTCTCTACATGGATTTCATATGTTACTATGTGTGTACTGCATGTAAAAACACACTAATTCCAGCTCTGACAGTGCAGCCAAAATCAAAGTCAAAACTATCCCTGAGCAGGACCAAGGGGCTAGACCAGAGCTGAGATTATCTGGGGTGGGTCAGACTAAAGAGAACCAGTTCAACCTCCTCTCAAGTGGCCAAGCTTATCAGGTTATTTATGCAGGAATAGCTTGGACTTGACAGGGTTGAGTTGCTGCTGGCCTCTCTGCTGGGCTAATCTGGGCTGAACTTTGACTGTAGCTCCTCTGTGCTGCTGCTCTCACATCCCAGAGCCTAGAAGCCAGCTGGTCAGCTCCAGGGGAGCACAGCAGAGATGGGGAGTGACACCCAAGCCCTAGAGAGACAGTGCTCTGACTGTACTGTGGACTAGGGAGGGGGGTATGGCTGTCAAAGGCTCCATTGTTTGACAGGCCAGCATGGTTTCACGTGCAGCGCATGATTCTCGCTGCGGGTCTGAACTATAGCCCAGTCTGACCTAAACTGTCCGGGAGTATGTAGCTGTGGCCTCCCTGGGCAGGTTAAAGTGTAACTGTGTCCGTGTTTTCTCAGGAAAGTGTGTTTATCTAGAGGACCAACACGGAGGCCCTTTTGTTTAACTAAGTAGCAAGGCTCGGCCTAAGAGTAAAGCTCTCTGAAACACACAGGAACCAGGTGGCCCTTCTCTGTTCCATTTACTGCTTGTTAGGTACAGTTTGCATGAGCATGTGTGTGCTCGAGTGTTTGTTTACATTTGAGGGAAAAAAGGCAGAATGCAGATACACAGTCTATAAGATGTACATGGAAACATAAACTGATATTTTTTATCCAAACAGCACACAATGAGAGGTACCTATTTTCTTCGGAGAGCGGAAGGGTTGCAGCCAATTAAATGCAAATAGTGCAAGGTAAATGATCAGGCACAATGTGGCACTGTTAAATAGAAATTCTGGTATTCTTCAACCTGCCATTGTGACTACACATCATAACAATTTTGCAATAGCCGACCCCGTAGCAGAGATTCAGAAAACGCAACTCTGGAAAAACAACTAATAACATAATAAGTGTTCCACCTACTTCTGGACTAGTTGGCAATTTTAGACGGTTGTATCTGAATGAACACCAAACCAGTCTTTCAGTCAGGACTCTGGAGACTGGATAAGCCACCAAGCAGACCACTTGTGCATCTGACCCCATCATCTTTGCCAATAATCTCAAGAATTTCTACACCCAATTTGATATCACAGTCTCTTCATCTGGTATCCCAGGTCCTCAAATCACTCTGTACTTCAACAATCGCTGTTACATTAAAGACATTTGTCATACCTGTACCTAAAAAAACACACCCATCAGAGCTAAACCACTACAGGCCTGTAGCTCTAACCACTGTTATAATGAAATGATCATACTTTCTTGGATCCCATCCAATTTGCATTTAGCAAAGGAGAGGCACAGATGATGCAGTGGCCTCTCTCCTGCACTGTCTGCTACAACACCTGGACACCCCCGGAAACTATGCCAGACTTCTTTTTATGGATTTTAGTTAGGCCTTCAAAACAGCGCCAACACTTAACTCTTCTAATAGGTTATTAGAAAGCATGTAAGGAGCCTCGCTAGGAATAATAGCTATATTTTGTTATTGTTTGCCGTATAGAAACACAAATGATGCCAAAATGGACTGAACACATCCAATTGTGAAGTCACAATGGACTGAAATGTATGTCTTTGAAAATGTCTAAAGCAAGGGCATGGCTGCTTTGAGTGACATGTGGTTACGTATCTGATGGTTTCACAGTATACCATTTTTTGTTTTTTGTTTTGCATGACAAGGCCTGTATGTATGTTTACAATGGCTTATTTTACTGTCAGGAGTATATAGAATACAAAAATGCCATTGTGTATGTGCAAACTGAACAGTTTTAATTGTGCAAACTGCAACATAGAAAAAAACTGAAAATAACAAT